ATATAGCAAAAATAAGGAAACATGACGGAAGCCGAGCTAAAATACATTAAATGAGGTAGAGTGACCAGTAATGACCATGGTTTTTTTGAAACGTGGGCCGCAAGTTTCAGTCCTATTATTATCACAAATTTCGCATCAACCGATATTACGCGTAGATCCATTTTAAATCGCGTTCAAGGTTTCGTCGTCAAAGGGTTTCGAGGAGCTCGTAGTTCGTAACATTATTCCTGCACTTAGCGTTAGGTGTTCTGTTAACTGGAAAATTTTGATTTCGTGCAAACAAGCTGACTGCTCGACTGAGCGGATAGAAGCTCAGTGTCAGTAAGAGACAAGCGTCGGATTCTCTTAAATCTGACATAACAAATCAACAACAATTAGGGTAGAACATGAAAAATTATTACGTATATATACATGTGTGTGTGTGTGTGTGTGTGTGTGTGTGTGTGTGTGTGTGTGTGTATGGAAGAAGAGAGAAGCGTAGCGGAGCCATTCTCTCCTATGTGACGTAGTGAATGAGGTGAAATTGATAACGGCGATGATGGAATAGCTGATTGCGAAAAATGCCTGACCGACGCAACAGCGCGGGATATCTCATGCAATGAAAGGGAAATATAAATCGTGTTCCAAAAAGGTTCTCATCTCTATAACGAATAAAACAAGCAGCGTACTTGCTGAGGTGCTCTAGTTGCTTTTCGTTCTAATTTCATATTTACTACGATCAGTGATAAAAAATAGTCCCTTGATTAAAATTCATCCACACTTCCAGCTGCGGCGGGGTAGCAGGGCGAGCAATATGGAAAAAGCAGATAGACAAGCATATGAGATTGATAATCTTAGGTAGCTGTGTTTGAGATTAATATAGACACAACAGGAAAATGAAAAGGTAAACATGACGAAATGATTAATAATAAAAACATAAGCCACGAATACGTTAATTCTAAATGAAGTCAACTCGAGGCCAGCGAATGAAAATATATGTGAACGGATTACAGCAGTAAAAAGAGAACAGCGCGCAAAAGAAATAAATTTATATTCATAAAAAAAAATACACATTGTGCTTCATTTGTGATTGCATTATGAAATACTCTTAACTCGATTAAAAACACGTTTTTTACAACAGTGCCATGCTTCAAACGTCAGCTTTAGTGGTGATAATTGATGACGGAAGCATTAGGTCAGTTGACTCATAATAATTAGGAATTGAGACAAATATGGCACATGCCAACGTAACTGTTGCCACAGCAGTTTTGCTCAGTTTAGACGCACATATGCATATTTTTGATAGCTTGGCGGTACCGTGTTTTTGTTTGACACTCAAAAACACCTGGATATCTAGGTGCGGAAGCATATTTCGTTGCGTGGTGGCACCGGCCAGCCCTCCAGAGCAATGAGTAAATTTATGATTCAAATTAGATGTGTGACTGCAAGATGAGTTGGGAAAGGATACGAAATACTTAGGGGGGAAAACGTCGAATATTTTAGCCTAATATATGCATGAGATGAATTGAAATAGCTATTTAGCATCTGCCTAGTGTTATCACCTAACTTTTTTCCAAATAGAATAAAATGGATTCTTCGGAATTTTAAATTTTTGGAAAATACTATATTTCTGTATTCCCAAAGAAAACAGTCTTGTATAATATATTAGTACATTTGTATTGATATTTTGTATTTGTCAATATCAATTGTAATAATATTATTGTTGTTATCAATATATTTGTTATATCGTCAAGAAGAACAGATTCGTTCCTGAAGAGCTCTACATTTGCACCATCCGATCGTTTTACTTCTTCATGTTATACTATTATTGTGAAATTATTATTTATTACTGTCCATAAATCATACCGTATCGTCACTCTTCTAGGTTATGCCGCTGCTGTTAACTCAAATGATAATCCCAAGCTAGCGTTTTTTTTTGTAGGATATCGTTCCATCCAGTTTGCATCAACAGGCAGGCGTGTTTTCGAACATGACAAATTAAAAGAGTAATAATAACGATTACGGCGAAGTGTGTAGGCGTATGAAGGCCCACTACTTCAGACAGAATAGGCGCATTCGCTGACAAACAATTACCATACACTTACTCGGTTTACATGTATATATTCGCTGAGAAATAATATGTTTAAATACGTAATGCAATGTATCTCATAAATAATGATAATAATGGCATATATAATTAAATGCCGACAGTGCATGGTGGAGAAGCCTCTTATTACATAAAGAGTAACGCTCTACATTATCAATTCCCATTCATGCAAGAAATTTTCATTTTTTCAAAATATTTTAATTTCCATATTGTAGCAGTACATCCACCCGCATCACAGATCGGGGCCGAAGTATGCGAGGTAGACTACACATATACACTCAATTGCATTTTCATTTTCTGTCGATCAAGTTCCTCTTAGTAGTATTGTTACTATGGTACAAAGCATATCACTGACAAATGCACCAGTCATCATTCTCAACACTGAGAAAACGATTTCTTTATCAAGACCTGAATTACACTGCAGCACGTTGATGTTGTAGCAAATGCGTAGAAAAAAGTGATGATTTGTTTTAGTGTTGTTGATTTTGAAGTTACATGAACGCGTCGTCGTAGAAATACAGTAATCGATTTTCTTTTTATACGTTGTTGATTTGTGGTGTGTCGTTCCATGGCTGATATCCGTATTTCACATTTGTCCGTCAATGCCCAGCCATCATGTGGTACGCACATATCGATAGAGTATCGAATTAAAGAAGAGCAGCTAGACAAGTTGAGACTCTTTGTAATAATAATGATATCAATAATCGTAGTACTAACGAGTCAATAAGTTTCTTATTGTATAGTGAGGATACTAAACAGTGCCAGGTAAAAGAAGCTATGTAAGCTTTGCAGGGTTATGTGCGTCACAAAGTTAGTTAGCCTTAAAATTAATTATCAAGCTTATTTAGTGGATCTTTTGATACGTTAATGGAAATACAAACGTAGTTTAGGAAGAAGGAGGCCAGGAACTTATGAATGTAATAGGATGCTTTCCTATCGTCGCGGTGTACAATGGCTGACGTATGTCTACATCGATATAGAGCATTTCTTCGCCAGTACACACAAGTCCATATACGGCGATAGCTACATCTGTTTTTACTGTATATACCCTGCCCCACTGCTCATTAGCAATCACCTGGCAATTTACTTTCATTCACGTAATCGACAGCTCCTCTCATGTCTACGCCTGTTACTCTTACGATTCGCTTTTCTATAATAGTATATTTATCTGTGCATATCAAAATATGTTATTATCACGAAGAGGGATACATCTGTCACTTCAACATTTCTCGCCCATCGAGTCGCCATATTAACGGTCATTTGTGTTTGTGTACTTTGCAGACGCAACTCCTGCATTTTCATCACATTATCAGGACTATATGCTAACCTTGACTGGTGAGAAGGATAGCTGTTTGCTTCCCTAGTCAGGTCTAATGTTGTACGTAGTTACCAATGACAGTAATAGCTAGGCCAGGTTTGAGAGAAAGTGTTCTGACTGAGATGTTAAGTTCGCCGTGCTCATCATGATTATCCCCTTCCATTTATAACAGTTAGTATTCGATTGGTATTAAGCTGTTTAGTTTAGCCACATTTAGACAATTTCCTTAGCTGCTCATTCCTACAGCATTTATATAGCGCAGCCCTCGGGCGGATTGCTGAATCAGCCTAGATCATACAAACGCTTAGGATTTTATTATCGGACTCTTAAGATCATTTAAAACTCTCTACCTACATTTCTAATAGTACAGTCTCCTTCTTATTACTTTTTCCAGTTCTCAGAACGCCCACCCAGAGATCGCTCAAACATGTTTTATTTATGGCTCATTATCCACAATCGATAACTGAAGCCTTTTCGGAAAAGCAAACACATCGCAGAGTCTGCTCAAGTTTTGTATCAAATCGTGTCGTATCTCTTAGCGAGTGTCCATAACTCCCAACAGTCATATACAGCCTTTGTTAGTATTACAAACACTCATTACAACTACCTACTTAATCTGGTCGATTCAGTCATAGTTGGTTTTCCCGCAGGACATTTTCCACTTGCTGACACTTTGTGTTGTTTCCTATTTCTTTTGTTCTCTCCTGCACCCATCTCGTGTCAAACGATTGATCTACAATAATTACGCGACCCTGAATTGAAATGTAGTGTGGTTGCTTACGTTGTGCAAACAACCACAACAACGGAACTACTTCAAATGGCCGCCGATGCTGTTGCCTCACATATGTCAATCTTTGTATTATCATTACATTTTATCTAGATATGGGTAGTGTAATAGACCTCGTTCGGGTTCTGTTGACCATATTCCCTTTCCCCATTTTTACATGAGAGCGCACTTCTTCGGCTGGCGCTTGTACGGTTCGGGTTTAAGGACAGCCCGTACAGCCTCTTCAAACACCTGTTTAAGGCCCCGTTGTGTCAGAGCCGAACATTCGAGATACTTGACGGCTCTTATTTTTCCGGCCAATTTTTGGCCCTGTTCACGTCGTATCGGCCCAGTGATGCCCTGCTCATATAATTGCTGCAACGCTTCTTTGTCATCGCGTAGATCGGTCTTCGTTCCGACGAGAATGATTGGCGCGTCGGGGCAGTGATGCTTGATTTCTGGTTGCCACTTACTTAGCACGTTATCGTATGACGAGGGGCTGACAACCGAATAGCAGACGAGGAATACGTCAGTCTGTGGATAGGAAAGAGGCCGCAGCCTATCGTAGTCCTCCTGCCCTGCCGTGTCCCAAAGGCCAAGAGAGACCGCCACTCCATCGCACATCATTGCTGCTGAATAATTGTCGAACACCGTTGGCACGTACTCTCCTGGAAAAGCAGATCATAAAAGCGAGTGACAGTGTGATCAACATTTTCTCAGCAAGTTCTTAGCTGGAGCTCTACTAACTTTCAGTTCAGCAGCTCTCTACCTGTTAGCCGATAAACTTGCTAAAGCAAGCAGGCACACTGAATGATTGCGGAATTCATTGCTCAGGAACGTGTCGCATACAAAAATATTATAGTACCCAATTTTACTAAATCATTCAGCAGTGTCGTCTCAATTGGAGATACGAATATTTTTTAAATATTACACATGCAAACGAAAGAGACTAGTTGAGAAATTTAAAAGTATAATATAATCGTGCTCATTTACGATAAACGAAAATTAAAGTAAATTTAGGAAAAAGACGGCAGAAACTATATCGTTTTGTGATTGTTGTTATTATCTCCTTTTCTAATACATAATATAAGTGTAGCTCAACCTACCATCAGACATAACGATAATGGTGACAGACTATCTATTTACCTGGAAAGGAGTCAGTGGTGTAGGAGATCAGCATGCACGTCTTTCCCACGGTACCATCGCCCACGACCACACATTTGATGGGGCGGCCGGAAGGGGCCACGCTGCCTGGGGTCTTCACTGACGACTGCATCTCAACTCCTTTTTTTATATGCTCTAGAGTTACGATGATAACAACAGTAACAAACGTATAGACAACACAACGGTGATTCAAGGGAGATATGAGTTCAGATTAGACGAAGCAGACTGATTTCCGGTCAAACCTCGATGGCTTCGTTGAGTGTTCTACTTCTCTAAGCTGTCTAACTGACAAACACTGACGAACACTTGCTGGGATTTGGTTGAGTCACTGAGCAGAAGTTAGTGGCCGTATTTGTCGAAAATACTATTTAGGCCAATTTTTTGAGTTTGGGATACATACGTACGTGTCAAATCTCTCCTCTTGCGTCTAGCATACAACAGTATATACCGTATAGTTACGGCTACCTTTCTGTCTACACGTTGATTCTTTACCTATGCAGCAACCAAAGCTGGACGTTGCAGTTCAGGTGCTAGGCGGCTTGCGAGATTCAGTAACACGCCTAAAATACTCACGTGCTTAGAAAAAGATACTGCTATCTTCTTCTTTTTTTCTCTATAGTGTGTATGTCTGTCAAACTTCTACAGAAAGCAGTGGCCAAACTCATTACCGTTAGACTAAGGACAAACAGAACGCGAAATTAATCAGGGCTATGGTGAATCATATGAGGACATCATGCCGCCGCCAGGCGCGCCTGTATGCTTCCTCGACAAAGCCGCTGTGCTGACTACAGCGTGCGCTACGTTGATCATAGCTCTAATATCGACGATGGTTTTCTGGGCGTTGTCTTCTCTTCCCAGAGAAAGCCTACTCGAAAATGTGTACGCAGTAAGCTCATTCTGCAATAGAAACAGAATACAAATATGAAAGATTAAATTAGTATATGACATGGACTATGCTAAATCTAATGGTGCAGTCAAATTACATATGTATAGGGTAGGTGTACAATATCGATATTTCATAAGTAATAATAATAATAATTAGCGAGCAAAAGTTGCAATCATACGGTTATCACGGGTAATACTATGTGCTTCTGGAAGTATACTTCAATATCGATGGTCACGAACGGTTGGTTCGTTCCATTCGTTCGACAAAACCCGCTCTTAGAAAATGTGCTAAGGAACAATAAACAATCTTTTCTTTTGCTCACATGAAACTGAAAAAAGAATAACGCCGTTGGCACGCACAACCATTACGTAGTTTGCTTACAGTCTAATTAGAATAGTCTCGCAAAAACTAGTTCTTGATAATAGCGTGCGAACGCCACCATCGTTATTGTGCTAAAAATGTCTTCTAACGCCGCAAGCCACGGTAGTACTGTAAGTCGTAGAAAAAAAGCTGCTTCGAGGATGCTCCCGGGACATAGAGGTGTAGTCTCGGGTTGATGGATGATACGGCAAACAAGCGAGAAGTCCGGAAGACGGTTGGCTCAGAGGGAATCTACACGTTCTTCAGGCATCCTACGGCCTGTGGTATAAATAACCTCATGCCCCGTTTAACATTACTGAGCGACAATATTATAACGGTTGTCTAGGAGAGGGGCTACAATTACTCTTATGAAATGTGAGTATTAATGTATGACTATTTTTCTATTTTAATATATATAAAAATACTTCTCTCGGTGCTTTCTAATATTTCTTAGATCGCCTAGTATTAAACTTATTAACGACACAAAAAATGCTGTCTGCGAAATATCCAAGAATCTGATGAAAAAATATGTGATTTAAATAAAACGGTTCAACTACTGTAAACAATTTCTTGGGTGCCGCAGTGAAAATACTTTTCTAGTATTTTGTAAGAGTAAACATGAATTTCAATAGTACGCATTTTAATTTTCCTGCGCGTTCAGCAATCGCTGCCGAACTGTCCTAAACTGAAATCGACCAAAGGTTTCATTCTTTCGAGCAACTCTGGTTTCTTCGAAAGAGTTTCTCGTTGCAATCTTACCCAATGTGGTGGCGACCCTCGCAGCCTGTCCAGAATGCACTCGTAAAGATCTAAGCCGCGGCTTGTTTTTAGGCTTTCTTGTCTTTAAGCAGCCTTTTACATAAAAATTTTTACCATCATCCAAATTGAAGGCTTTTCCGCTGCTTGTGGATAAATAACGTATAATAAAGCTGCGGAGAATTGTTACTCATAATAGCTCTATAGACTTCCGATTCATAGACGGTGCGTTAACAAAATTTCATTCAGAGATGCGTACAACTATAAACCACACTCCTGCTGTCTTGTTTTGTTTGGTAAATATACTCGATTACACATATAGACCCTACAAGAGGTCAAGATGCTAAAAAAAAAGCAACGAGATAGGATTATTTGAGCAAACTCCTTTTTCTCTGCTTTTTTCGCCAGTCACAAAGGAACCCTTCATAACATGCACGATTTTGGAAAGTGAGGGGACCTAGCGGTTTTTCCATTGGAAGGATTCTCGCATTAGCAATGTTTCATCTCCCTTAAGAATACATTACGAAGGGGAGGAAGAGTTCCATTTGTCAATGTAGCTGTTGTTAGTGCGGCTATTGTTGGTAAAGCGCTCGTCGGAGTAAGCTTTAGAAGCCACAGCTTTGTTGCAGTCCAATTAAACCTAATCGAGAAGCAAGAGATTGGGTATGTTAACAGAGGACCAGGCCCAACCAGACACGTTTTCACGAGGTTCCAAACTGACAGTGTTAGATTTTTGTTTCAGTTTTGTGCATATATTGTTGACAAAGATTTCTTCTGTATCATTTTTACCAGATTTATTACTGTATACCACCAAAACGTCGCCTAAACTATCATACTACATCACGTTTCAGAACCATATGCAATACTATGCAGGACCGTGACTTAAAAATCGTTCGTTGTTCAAATTAGTATCATTGGGCATTTACATATAGCATCTGCTCGGAGTGATACATGTAACTGGCATGATTAACGAATGTAATAATGGCGATTGACGAAGATCTCTTGGGATCCACCCCCAACTTTCGATGATTCATATTCAGTTAGTAATATCGTTGCTCCATTTTTAGTTCATAAGTGATAAAAAATTATACAACTGACCCACAGTTAAAGATTTTTATTTTTATGATACTGCATGCAGTACATGTCTTTTCTAATTGCTTTTTTGTATCAAATTTGCAACCAAAGTAATTCACACGTGAAATTCTCCGTTCCGTTTATCGATAAGCAAATATCCGTTTTATGCAGTATTAACGAGTATGCAATATGCTCAAAATCGGTGAAAGATCATTAGTGAAATTAAACTTAGCGGTTCGCAGTTATCGACGTTGTCCTAGTTGAAACATTGCTTCCAATTGCATATCCGACAGAAATAAAGCTTCACACACCGGTAAATGTAAAAACAATATTGAACTCATTGAAAGTCATTTGCTTGATTTCGACTAATTAGTGTATTAATATATGGCACTTGCACGCGTACTTCATCTCATTCCATAATATGGCGTACAATTTCTGTTTGACGTGATACGGACGTTACATGCCGATGTCCCATAAGATTCGATTATTTACGATCTACTTTAGCGTGCCCGGCAAGAGAACCAATGTTGTTCTTCTTCACCAATGGGCGGTGCCTGATCTTGCTGGCGCAGCTATCCGCCTTCTTGCCATCGTCTGTCCGCAACTAACGCAGTGCGAACTTACGCTGGCAATGTTTGCGGTTTATCAAACTGGCTACCCCACTTTGGTCTAATAACCAAGACCACTTTCAGAAATAATCACCCGTTCCGTTACCACCAGGGCATATAACATGCTAAACTCAAGCACCTTCCTAAGCAAAAACACTGCGACAGAATTAAGTAACAGCCGTAAGGACACTACGAGTGGTGACGGACCAGTGGCAACACCAATATCGAATTGAGTACTGAAGAAGAAGATAGGCGAAACTAGGGCTTGGGGCGAGAAGCAGATTGAGCTCGACAACCCTCTAGAGTAATAGATCCAGAGTAGATCAGCTACATTGGGCGGTCGTTTGTCATTTAAGCCACGCTGCCGCAGTAAATACGGTAGTAGCAGCAACACGACTACATTCAGTCAATCAGTTTGTGTCCTAAAAACTCACGGAAAGGAAACAAATCCTCAGTTTCGAAAACGGATGTAGTTCTATAGAATGCTGATATAAACACTAATATCAAACAAACCAAAGGCGCACAGCTTGTTACTACTGAGACTCGCTTTTGTAACAGCATACTCTAATAAAGCTAGTGCTACGAATATTTATTCAGGTGAAAAATTTCAGGCAGGAAAAATTTCCATAATGTATTTGCTATTACAAGCTTTGTTTAAAGGCTTGCCAAATTGACTTACATTTAAAATAATTGAGAAATATATATATCATAGAGAATAAATTTATCATATGTATCGTAATCGCGTCTGCTATGCTTATAACCTTCATTGAACGCAAACAGAATGCGGCAACAAATGTAACATATTCGCCACCTCGTTACTTAAGTCGAATTGCGAGTGAGAATTGGTCTTAATGGATGTATGAATGGAGTAATTATTATCGATTATTACTACAAAGTTAAAAGATACGAGGTCCGACAGATACTGACGTATGCTACGTTTATCCGATTTGCCTCTCGTTTTTGGATGAGAGCTGACTGAATAAAGCAGCACAACCAACAGCACTTCTATCGACGGTTGCGTTACTCAAGCACGTGTGTAGGTTACTTGCTGACAAAGCGCTCCAGGAGCTAGCGAAATCAACATTAAGGGCCCATGCAGCATATGTAACAACGAATGGATATCGACTTCCTAATATTCTGGCAGGTAATGCCTGCACCTTAAAGTAGTAGCAAACTTCGCAACTTGAACAAAAGCCTAGAACACAGGACAACTCAAGTGGCAGATATACGTGAAAGAGCTAAGTCGGCCTGATAGGGATAAATTTAGAATAATGCTTCCAGAACAAGCTCCTGTATGTGTGTCTATAAATAAGCAGAAACTCGGATAGAGAAATACAATAGATGACAAGATGCGGCATTACCCTTCCTTGTAAGCTTATAAAATTTTTATTTTTTATTTCGTAACTACATAAATCGCTGCATGTTAATTGAAAATAAAACCGTAAATTAACCATATTACATTTTATAAAAATATATTCATGTAAGAACCCTTAAATTTAAACTGTATATTGATATCTTGATAGAAATTACTTTCATCGTAGATATCATAGACATACTCTCATCAGGTGATATTAAAATCTGTTTTGTACTTGGAATCATGCACATTGTACAAGTGATCAGAGACAAAGGTCAAAGGCGATGTTCAAACATCTATTAGGCTGTTATGAGCGAATTCGACGGATTTAGAAATGAAATAACTTTTTAACTAACTGAAATAAAATGATCATTTTTAATACTCTACTGCATTTTTACATACTTCGTCGCTTTGGCAGTTTTTCGACAATTTTTTTTCCTAAACTCCTCAACGTAAGTCTACAGTGAAATAAGCTTGCCCGCCAGTTGCCCTTACTGAGGCATGGAGTCCAACAGTCATATGGACTTCGATCGGGAGAATGAACGGATAAGAGCGAATGTTGGATGCTCCTCTGTTCAATCCGGGAAATAGTTGAGATATGCCGATGAGGCTCGGCGTTAGCCTTAAGCACGCAAACTACCTGCCTACGATCGTCGTGGAATGAGTCTTTTAGGAACTCAAGACAGTGGACTGCATTCATTGTTTCGTTGTCGCCAAATATCAGCAGATATCTCTGATGTCTGTTGCAACTATTGTCATTACCTACTCCACACTGCCACCCAACTCGATTCTCTCCAAGGTGACCCCATTCCTTCGCCTAATCTGTTGCCAGTGTTTTTGCCGAGTCCCAACAACTGGTCACCCGCTCGTCAGCCACTGTAATTTCCGTTTTTGAAACGTTTGCACCGTTCACGTAATGTTTTCGCGTAAAGATTTCTTGCTAATATCTTCACTAGTCTTTGATTAATTTTTGCAACGCTGCGACCTTAGAGAATCTGACCACTGAACGTCGATTTTCGAGACTAATAAATATTTTTTTGAGCTCATTTCTCCTGGAGCGAACAAGTTTTTAGAACACTGAAGTACTTACCAGCCGAATTTTGTCTACTAGTGGCGTGTAACTCAAAGTTAGTGAATTTCAGGGTTCGTCGGGTTCGCTGATAACAGTCATATTTAGGTATTTTATTGGTCGCGATTCCAAATGGTTCGTTTCGATCTAGAAAATCATAGAGACCACACCGTTTAAGATTCGTCGGCATTTACACGAGGTATGAATTCTGTGAAACCGACCTAGATTAAGCAGTAGTTCTTTCAACATACGTTTGCAATTATGTATTAACGGTTTCATACACATATTGTATTAGCAACGAAATGTTCGAAATATAGTTGAACTGGAAGTTAAAAAAGGTTACTGCTATTTGGTTCTCATTCACTTTCTTTTTAGACAGCGTCGGTCCGCATGATCAGGATAGCACATAATAGCAGGAAAACAGGCCCTCAGTGATAAAATAAAAATAAGATCAGATTAGACAGCATTCGCTTTACTTAGCTAGCGATCATTCAAAAAATGCTATCAGTCCTTCTAACCACCTTTTTTATTTATGTATTATTTCTCCTAATAACCGTTTATTAAAATTAAATTTCGCTTATGTTTGCATGCAGACACTTTGCATATCTATAAAATAGAGCTCAAATGAAGTTGCACATGAAGAGCCTGATCGGATAGCTCTTGATCGAAGCAGAACTGCTGGGCTTCTACATATTGCTACTCAAAACGAAATATATAACCTACTCGTCAAAACACTGAAATGCGTCATTGCTTTGATTATTACAAATACTTCGTCGGTTATATAGTCTATAACTTACAGGTTCAGGTCCTATGATAATTAATTAGAGAACACTTAATATAAATTATTACTCAATAACTTTGCTATTATCATTATTGGCTAATATGGACGTCAAAAATTGATTCACTTTCTCTTATGAATCGTTTATAATTTCTTACACTGCATCAGTATTGGCTTAGACACAATTTTATATTTTATGACAAGACGCCATAACAATAATATTTTTTCTTCTACGACCGACTTCGTGCATCCATTATTACACTATACTTATTAGTTGACTGCGTGAACCTACCGTAGAAAAGCCAATCGAAATAATTTCTTGGGTCATGGTTTGACTCGATGCGAAACTACTTGCGAGCCTAGACATAGTCGAATTATAAAGCAATGCAGAAATGCGTATACGTGCTTTCTGGACTGTAATGATAACTATCAATAAAGCATGATTTCACAGCTTATACAATAAGCAGCACCGGGATCTGGGATACCGCCACAGACACGAGCTTCTCACAGTTCTTTTAGTGTCTATAATCAAAATACTCAGCATCCATTGCATTGGAAAGTTGGCGACAACTATAGCAAGGCCCATCAGTAACACAATGCGAGAATTATACATTATAATAGTATAAAAATCTCATTATAATAACCATAATAATTGTGTAGTATATTTTTTTGATTGTTGCTAGCCGAACAATCAACCAATGTAACAAAATATTTATCGCTGCAATTTTTACGACATTTTCGTAGCTCAGTTGCTCGTTGTTGGTAAACTGTTTCATCATCTACTTTGAAGATCACTCGTAAAAAACCGTAGACACCTAAATATTCTTAGTCGACATCAACATGTACCGAAGATCTAAGTGATTCCAGATCCAAAGCTGCAGTCACTGAAGCGTAAAAAGCATGCCTATAGATTGATCTATCTAGGAATAAGTGGACGTCTCCCACAGACACTGGGTATAAAATGTAATAAAATTAGCTCAAGACGGAAAAAAGTGGCAGAAGCTTCCAGCTCGTTAAAAAAAAAGGACAATGCGACCGACACAATGATATGGTTCTCTTTAGGTTATTTTCTACGTTTTTGAGAAAAGCAACTTTCGCCTCCGAGGCGCTGTCTTTGTATTTTATAGAACAAATAAACAATGATAAATGCGCAATCACTTCTTCAAAATAGAAACAGGTCTCATCCAATCTATAATCCATACTCGTTCACTCAGCAAAATTTTGAGCGTTTGAATGAGTAATCAACCCGTTGTTTCTCTGTGCCCTTTTGTCTAATGTTCACGTCCAAATAACCAGTTCTAACTGACCCGAGTATTACGAATAAAACGCTTCAATACTCTTAAATTTCAGTGCCATAAACCAGGGTTTAACAGTGACCGTCGAATTGTCCGATAAGCACAGCGCGAAGAAAGGGTGCTCATTACGTCATGATGTCGTGATATTAGAATTAGAGGAAGTTGGTCTGACTCACAGAGGGGTTGGTAGAGCTGCAAAATTCGACGACAATTGTGTAAAACACAAAACACAACGACAAGATTTAGGCGAAGTCCCGAAATGCGTCCGACTCAACGTGTCGACTACTCATCGTAGGCCGCTTTACGCGGCAAGCGAACACACAGATACAAGCGTGCGAGACAATTTTCTATTACAACAACGCGAAGATATTACCGATAGAGCGGTTTTAGTAACTGTAAAACTGTCGCCACAGAGGTTCACGGCGAACGGCAACACAGAGGAACGACGAGATGGCAAACCGTGGCGGAATCCTATTATACAATGGGGCACAACACACGAATCCGTAGCGAATGCAACGCCAGCTAACGAACACACATAGCCGAAACTCAATAACTCAAATCTCTGTGTCGTTGCGTTCATGAGACTCAAGCTATTCTTGAACCTCGTTAGTAGTAATTACGCCGACGGTCCGTGAGGTCAAAACAAGATGGATAAAAAAAACTGTTACACTTTCATACATATAGACACTCTTTTACACACTAAATACACGCATACACACACACACCCACAGAAAGAGTGGGCGAGTATGTCACAGTATCCGCTTCTCAAACCTGCTTTTTTCCGGTTTAAAAGACGCAAAAAGGCAAGTATTAGCGGATATTCCTCGTCGTCGTTCTTCTATCGCTCGTCCAGCAAATCCTTGCGGTCGCTATCTGCTGCTTTTTCATTACGACAGCAACTTCCTATCGAGGGACAGAGCGATGGCTGGACGAGCGCAAACTAAGCGGCAGTAATCAAGTCAGCTAAGCAACAGCGGCCTTTTTGGTGGTAAGGAAGGTAAACAAACATAATAAGTATACGAGTTGCAATAACATTAACGCCAGTAGTAGCAGCCGCCGCAGCAGCAACGGTAAGAGGACAGCGGCAACGGGTGCGGCGAAGGAGGTGTCCACAGCAGTAGTACTATTATCAGCGCCGCCGGCAAAAAAACAAGAAGATCAATTTCGAAGCAGACGTTTTGACGATTCGACGACTCGAATTGTATCAAGCTACACGACAGGCCGATACAGACACCCACAGCAGACCACCGCCAACGGCGAAGGGACGGATGTCTCGCTGCTCGGAGCTGCTGGCCACCCTTTAGAATCGCCCTTTCCACCTTGTGAATGGATGCATTAGTCGTCAGCTATACGACAGCATTGCCATTGCTAAATAATCTGTCCAATAGAACAGTCATTGCACATTAGTTGGCCATACCATATCAGCAACAAGCAGTAGCACCGATGGCGCACCGAACACCAATTTATACTGGAGATATGCACAACGGCCACGACTACTGGCATTTCGCTGTCGAACGTGGAGAGGGTACATTTGGCGGCGCCATGTTTCGAAAACGCGCCGCTTTTTGCGAAGCTCTGCGTCGGGCCCGCAGCAGTAAGCAGACGACGCAATGAGTTACAACATTGCCGCCATCCATCAAGGGTTCTAAGTGTCAGCGCGAGGTGGCTAGTGCTGCTGGTTGGTGTAATAGTAGTTGGCGACTGGCAAGGAGTTGGGCACACAGAGAGGCAGGCTGGCTACTCGAGAGCTTGGCGTAGTACTGTGAGCTATACGTCTGTGGGCGGGCGGGCGAGCGAGCGAGCGAATGAACGAACGAACGACTGACTGACTAGGAAACAAACTAGCAAATTTCGCCACTGGGTGGATGCAGTGGATTGTGGCAGCTAGCAGTCGTAGGCACTGTCATTGTGCGAGAGCCTTCGTCGCTGAATAGTATTCACGGGCCGTTCGTTCATCGAGGCAGTATCACTGCCGCAGCAGCAGCAGCTGAAGGAGCTCCGGCAGCGACTGCCTCGGCCGACGGCTCGACAAGCCGAAGACCGACGTCCAACAGAACAGAGAAGTAGGCGAGAACACAGCGGAGCCTTTTGTTTGTTGCTACTTTTCTTCCTGCTACGAGGAACCGAGAGACGGCAGCAGCGGCAGACATCAACGAAGGCGTGCGTCCACGAACGTGTCGACTATTGAGTGACGGAACGGAAGGTCTCCGGCGTGCGCCAGCCATCGTGTGGTTGTCTGTCTAGCAGCCCGTTCTGGCTTGGCCTAGTTCCATCCTAATTTCGCTTGGCCCTGTGCAAGTGCTATGTTGTAATAATCTATGACGTGTGTAACAGGGTCGCCGATCGACCTGCAACGAAAGGCAATCGCAGTAGCAACACGAAAAGCAGTATTGTTGTAACAAACAGGTTGGTAAAACAAAGGGAAAAAGGTAGGCTGACGTGCTAAAGGTGCTGTTGCTTCCGGTGAAGCTTAATTTTATTGCCATATCGTGTCGCAGATACGATTGAATCTCCTCGCTGGATTTCGAGGATTCAAGAACAATCAGCGAACGAAGCGGAGTGCATACTGTCATCGTACGGTGTTCAAGTGACCTACATACTTACTGTGCCGCATTACGACTGCAGTACGCGGGGCGAACCGACTCCCCCTGCCTATTTATTAGGTACTAGAGCAGCACCGCACTGGCGTGATAGATACATTGTATTCAAACGCACAACGGTAGATAACGACTGGAACCCCTTCAGTGAACAACAAGTGAACGCGGGTGTGTTTGTACGTGTCTGTGTCTTTCTGTGTCACGAACAGCAAATTAGCAATAAACTTCTACAGCTATCGCCGTTGTCGTCTATTTTCTGGAGCACACAACTTGTGTGACCTCACATCGACTGGTATTTCTGCGGTAGCCGTCAGTTAGTGCAAGCGAGTTCACGTGCGGTATCCCGGAGACGGCCAACAACTTTTGCTATAATCGCTTCTGTTGAAGAATCAATCATTGGCACTCAGCATGCTTATTAAGGAGTATCGAGTGGCTTTACCACTAACCGTCGAGGAGTATCAGGTGGGCCAGCTTTTTGGAGTGGCTGAAGCATCGAAGAATGAGACAGGAGGGGGAGAAGGTGTGGAAGTTCGGAAAAACGAACCGTTTAATGGGGTACCTCTACTCGGCGGCAAATATAACAAAGGACAGTACACATACAAAATATATCATATGCAGTCGAAAGTGCCGGGTGTCATTAAAAAGATAGCACCAAAGGGAGCACTAGAAATCCACGAGGAAGCTTGGAATGCTTATCCCTACTGTAAGACAGTAATCACTAATCCTGACTATATGAAGCAAAACTTCATGATATCGATTGAAACAATGCACATACAGGATGACGGCAGCCAGGAGAACGTGCATGAATTGACTCCTGAGGAGCTCAAGGTGCGCGAAGTTGTGAATGTGGATATCTCTGAACCGCCACAGAACTCATCTGATTATCGGGAGACTGAAGACCCGACAAAGTTCCAATCAGAGAAGACAGGTCGAGGTCCTTTAACACGAGGAAAGTGGCATTTGGACCAGAAGCCCATTATGACGGCGTACAAGCTGGTTCGCTGTGAGTTCAAGTGGTTCGGTCTCCAGATGATAGTCGAGAATATGATTCATAAAACCGAGAGGAGATTGTTTCATACCTTCCATCGACAAGTGTTCTGTTGGATCGATCGTTGGCACGGCATGACAATGGAAGACATTCGAGCACTAGAGGACAAGGTCAAAACTGAGCTCGACAAGCAGCGAAAGGAAGGACCAGTTCGAGGAAGCAAGCTTGATGATTAAGTTCTAAGCTATCGCGTCTGCTTCGAGTTGGCTTGAGCATGCGTACAAGCAGCTACAGCAAACGAGCAGAAGCAAAATAATCGAAAAATGCGCAGCAAAACAAAGACGAGACAAACGAAACCAGTAGGGAGGTCGAACGAGAGTTAGTGCGAGAACGAAATATGTGCGAAGTAATCAATGGCGAGCGTCTGTTTTCATTTCGATAATTTGCCATAAGGACACTGTGCTAGCGAAGAGTATAGATGTTGAGCGTGTCAGTAAAGAACGGAAGCTTCTTGCTAGTTATTGTAGAAAAGAAGAAATCTGTTCTGCTACATGCTACCAAAGCGATAATCGTTGATTGATAGCCCGCGTAGAGTTAATATAATCATCAATCGCATATAGTGTGAATACGCCAACTAACTTCTAACGGATAGCCTTAGCACAAAAGTCGTTTTGTCGCAAACGCTGATGTCGGTGACGTATGCAACCGCTGCGATTTGAATGACCCTAACTGCACAGCTGACGAGAAAGAAAACAATGGAAAAAGCAAGACGAAATTCGAAAGAGACAAAATATATAGAAAAGAATATACACTTCAAAGAAAGTCAAGCGAAAAATTATATACCGATGCGTATATCTAATAAAAGTGCAAACATTGAAAAAAATCATCTGTAATTATATGCATATTTAAATTAATAAAAGGCAGCAACACACCACTCTGCAATAGGACATAATATTTCTAAGCTAAAAAACAAGAAATCTCAGAAAGCATACACGAGCTAATAACTTACTATTAATCACTGTATGTGAAATGCTTAAGCGACGATTAACCGGTAGGGTAGGTCAACACTGTAGATGCAAAGATAGTCAATCGCGTAGATAGGAAGTGTTACTTTATAGTAGCAGTAATATTGCATTAATAAGAATAATACGCAAAAATGACGGTGTTTATTAAGTTAACACCAAATGGTCGAGATGAGCGTAAGGCTTATAGATATATCGAGGTGAAGTTGTAGAGTGTACGGTGGTACGGAAGAGGTCGTATAGTTATAAGGTGAGAAGGAAGAATTGGCAGCGCATCCATAGAGGAACCCATATATCATACGGTACATCATCTCGACCTCGAATTATTAAGCAGCCGGTTGCCGGTGGTTGGAGCCGCTAGTCAAGCATGGGGATAGGTGTTGAGTTAGTACGGCGCGAAATACTCAGCCATATCGACTTTGGTAGTCGAAAGCCACAAAAATGGCAGGAAGACGTCACAGTTCGTTGTCTGGGTAGAGATAGTAGGGTGTGTAAGGGTCGAGAGAAAATGCCAGTGCGATGGTGATGATGATGATGATGATGATGATGATAGGAGCCATGCTGTGTTGGTATAATAACATGGAAAAGATGATGCTACGAAGATGCTAAGTAGAAAGTAGGAGAGGATAAGCAACAACAACGACGAGAATCTCAAAGATACTGGTGCTGAATAATACACAATATCTACAGGAGTCTCTCTTTGTTATATATATACATATATAACATATATATATTCATTGTGGCAAATAAATGAGATCACGAAACAGTCTAATAGTAGAAATATGCAGTCGTAAAGATCAGAATGCGGCATAGCAAGATATTAAAGAAGATACTATTAATATAAAATAATATAATGATAATAAAGTTACACTAATAATACTAGCCAACGGAACTAGAATGCTACCTTATAATGACATAATAAAACCGGAAGATATGAAAGGAATCAGTTCGAAAGGGAACAAAAACCATTTAAAATGACGCTGATAATGATAAGCAGTATTAAAAGTCGAGCTGAAAATAATGTAAATTTCATTTCCAATTATAAAAAGTTCATTTGTTACTAGTACCGACCGATGAACATGATGAGCCTGACAGCGTAATATATATATATATATATGACGCTAAGGAAATCGTGATACCGTATATATCAAAAGATAATAATGAAAGCAAAGTGATGTGGTGGTGAAGTACATATTTGCTTGACTTGCTGTGATTTTAGTTTGTCTATTAGTAGAGCAGCGAGAGAAAGCGATGAACGAAATAAATAAAAAGCTAAACAGCCGAGCAACAGCATAAAGAAAGGAAACGAGACAGATTATTAGGGTCTAACAAACCCGTTGATTATTATTAGTAAAACTGACTTATATTATCATATAGAGCTATCAGATTAATGAGCTGAGAATATACGATTGCGCGTGAAGCCGGCGTTCGCATCGCAATAGTTCGTATCGTGATCCCGAAGATGCGATACAGACTCCTCTTAATGGTTTTGCTTGATCTGTACAGATGAAGTGACTAGAAGTCTATGGAGAGAGAACACTAACAATAAAGAGTTTATTTAAAGTCAACGACGACCTTAAAAAGCTTGAAGCTCTGTTCATTTCCTCCGCTTGGGTAGAATCGAATAAACTACATGTTTTATTGTAGGTTGCCGATACCTTGCCGACAATATGCCAACGTGAGCCAACTTTTCAAGAGGAAACTCATTGCTAGTGCTCTTAAAATAAAAGAAACATACTGCTGGAAATGCTCGTCTCGTTACGGTTAAACAAGATTATCTTGCGAAATTTCGTATTTTTTGTTTGGTCTTTGTTTTCTTTACTCATAACTAATACATTCAAAAATTCTGCTAGCATAATGATAAGAGAGTATAATGACAAAAGAAATCGGGGTGCATAGAAAATGAACATTGTTCGTCACTTACGAAATTGTACTTCGATCACTTTTGTACAAGATAGACTCTGATGTATACCGGGAATTGATCCATAACATAAGTTTATTAGTGTTTCTAAACGAAGCTTGAGACAGAGACAATGTCATACGTGAATGGAAGTATGATATATAAACTACACACATAGTAGAAGCAAAGAGGCCTTAGCAAAGAGGAAGACTGAAAGGCGTTTTTTTAAGCTGAAAAACATTGAAGCTTTCAAGTTATGTCAGTAGTGTACCCTTTATAGCGTTCTGGGTAAAACTACGTTAAATTATTTTAAAACACTTTTTTAGTATAGTGCTAGAAGCAGAATTCCAAGCAACTATGCGATAAGCCATCGCCAATAAACATAATGATCCATGACATTATTTGATTTTTTCAGCTGCAAATTATTATATTATTATACAAATTATATATTATTACAAAGGTGCAAAAAGTTCTGATAAAACTGTAATTCATAAAAGAGCAGTCCTAAAATAGTTGATTTTATTGTATCCTATCCCTTAATTATCTAAGAGGACAATTTCGTTTGGCGATTTGTAGTGTTTAGAGCGCCTGTATAAATTGAGACAGATACGGTTCGTACACGGAAAGTCGAGTAATTCAAAATGCGATTAAGGAGATACTGAAGATTTATAGGTGAGGACCAAGAAACATTCGCTGAGCAATAGTCGTATTAATTATTGCGGCGAATGTTGCTTTCAAACTTATCGGACAACCGTCTCGCTAGAATCACTCGTGCCGTAAGCAGATGTGAATGATGCGCCTGTAGCTCTTGTACTGGACTTCCGATTATGACTATTAGCAACAAACAGATTGCCTGAGATGCTTCATTTTAATTATTTTATTTTTTTCATTAATTATTTTATTATTATTATTATTATATATATTTTTTTATTAATTTTAATTAATAGGTAATTTATTGAAATTTTCTTCAGAATTCTCTGTTTGCCGAATTGCTAACGACGAACTGAAGATACCTACAAATAGCCAAACATACTCCGAAAGTCTGGGTTCTCATTGATCTGACCGAACATCGCCGTAATCATAAGCTATGTCAAGTCGTTTTTGAACCTGGAACAACGTGAGTAATGCCGTCCGACATGTTTCATAGCGTAATGTACGCATAACAACTGCACGTAAAGAACACTGTATATTAAGTAGTAATACCTGCTAAGAAATTTACCACAATACTGTTCCGGTATTTACTAGCATTTAGTTAAATTTTAGCCGTCGGTTAAAGTTCCGTTTTTAGCCGGAAACTTGAGAGTGCGCTTGAAGTATTCGTCAGAGCGCAATAAGAGTGGTTTTCAAAAAAATCCGCTCAGTTTAGCTAGGTTTGGCTGCGACATAGCGTTAGGATTGGATGCCTAAAATTTCAGGTGTGTATTGAAAGTGAATTGGCGCATTCAGTTCGATTCGGTGTATCTAAGGTCCTGCAGAGTTAAAAGTGGGACGACTGTTTCTTTCTAAACAGGTTTTTACGCCGATAGGATGACGTCAGCTGTTTTGTGAGCATACAATTCGATAACCTTCCGAAGGCGACAACGATTTCTGACTTGTTACCCGGCTTTTTCCAAATTGCGGCGTGATTTTGGGGGAATTCTTGCAGGTCTATTAGATATATGTAAGCGCAAATAATATATTGTTATAAAGACTAGTATCTTCTTTAGGAAATAGGGGATACATATGAGTAGGGAGAGGTTTCTGTCAGAAGACGAAGTTAAATATAATGAAAAAAAATCCAAATCTAAGTCAGTTTAAAGGCTGGCATTTGATTGAAATCCCACGATTTTGTGTCATAACTCATTGATTTGTCTTGTTAGGCTTTTCAGGCCGAGTCATTTTAGATATGTTCGGACCGCAATATTGCTAGAGAATCTATTTATCGAGTGCAAAGTCGTCTTGCATAGTAAATTAGTACACTGCGACAGTGTAGTACAAGTGTACTATGGACTGCACGGAAAATAAATTTGATACCGAATGAAATACTTTTAAGCAGATACCTTTAAGCAAACGTAGAGGGAGCTAGTGCTAGGACTATTTTTTTTTTATTACAGGGTACGCAATTCAAGTTATCTTGTTTTAGAAAACATTACGAATGCATGCGGTCCTGAGATCGTTTTTTCAAGTTTCATACTGAAGAAGAAGACGAGACGACCTAATCGCTGGGTGACACTATTGAAGATTTGACTTTTTAACACTAATAATTTTTTTTTCAACATACATAGGAACCTTTCAGCTCGCAGATACACATGCAGATAGGCGAATTCTAGATCCTAAAGTTACATGGAGCATACATAAGGTAACTATGATATGTTGAGTCATGCTAGCAATCAGATATGACGACGGTGTGTTTATGAAAGGGTTAAAGCATTTTTGATATAGCAAATATTAATTAAAGTTGTACTTCTATAATGATAGCATAGCGTAACATAATAATTTTTGGTCAGGTTT